TCACCCTCTCCCTCCGGTCCACATATGATTGTATGAACTATTAAAAGATCTTAAAATAAATACAAATGTATTTATTATAAACGTTAGTCCTTAACATCTATCACTGTGTATATCACCATTCAAACATCTTTTAAAAGTTGAACAACCCCACACAGCTCAGTGAAATGTTGACTTTATTTGATCATTTCAGTAAAAACTAACGTTCATATTTCTCTTTTTGATTATAATACTGATGAACGTTCAAAACAAAGCACTTTGGCAACTTACCACATACGTTTTAAAATGCTTAATAAGCACCGTAACTTTCATTATATCATTTCTCCCATTATCGTTTGTGTCCGTGAACGGCCGACTGTTGAGTGACGGCAAATGCTGCGGCTGCAATGCATTGTGGGGCAGCATTTTCTCCTCTCCTTTCGGCTAGGGAGGTCCAGTGGTTCCTAAGCTAAAGGAGGTTATAAAGGAAGTTTGAAACCTCCTTTCCTTTCATTTGGAGAATTGGAACGGCACTTATCATGGCTGCCAGTGACGTACTTCCGGGTCATTTCACTTGGTTAGGAAGGTTCCTAAACTAAATGGACTAATGGACTGGGCCCCTGTACTACAGCAAAAGTATTCTCCGTCGGGACTTCCTGCAATAACACCACGCCGTTATCAAAGACGTTCTATTGAGAAGACGATCACTACGTGACAAAAGTTTTCAAAACCGTGGCTACTGAAATCAATCTTACTAACTGCTGTCTGTGCAATTTACTCCGCGCGAGTTGGCAGACTTTATTTTGCTTACTTTAACATCATTTTTCATGGTGGGGCTAAGCCATTTCTTGGTATGGGTGTAGCCTACCCCAGCCATACCCTGGCGCTGCCACTGGTGGCACGTATGGGGCGGGCCATTCTGCACATGCGTTAAATGCGTTAAATATTTTAACGCAATTAATTCAAAAAAGTAATTACCGCCGTTAACGCGATCATTTTGACAGCACTAATACAAATCTGTCTGAAAATGAACTGATCAGATTTTGGCCACTTTATGATGTCATAACGATTGTTTGGCTTGTGCCAATCACCAACCAAGGTAACCCCCCCTCCCACCTTATCACCTGAATCTCCTCATAGAGCACCATTGTGTTCTTTTTAACCAAATATCTGTCAGAGGGGCGTGGGGAGTGGCTCCTTATTTTCATCTAAAGTAACAGACACAGAATCAGCACTTTTGAAACAGGGCTGAAACAGAGGGGATTATGGGATGCTGCAATGCACGATCTGTTAGGTGTTTCGAGCCAAACACTTCAGAGACATGTTTTGTATATATCTGAGACCTATAATATATTGATGAAAAACAGTATAATAGAGGACCTTTTAAATTGCATTTAGGGCTTTTTCCAAGGTAACAAATACGTGACATGTGTATGTCCACAAAATTATACAAAAAAAGTGACATGCGTTAGGATTTTCATAGTTCCCCATTTGATTTTCATTATTGTAGCAATCTTCAATCTACCAGTAGAAAATAGCCAAAATAACCTAAATTAAAGCAGAACATGTCTTTAGTCCTTCGCTGTGTTTTGAAAATGACAAAGCTAACACGACTGTGGCAATGGAAGCTATGCCTTTGTTGCGCTACAATCTTATTTGATATGTTGTAAGTGTAGCTTACATTATGTGCTCAGGTGTGTTGACACTGTTCAGTGTTTTACCTTTCTACCTTGCTCTTTCCCCACTCGTTCTGACTTTCCCGACACACTTTGTCCTATACTGTGTCTGCACTCATGTCAATTCCAATATGTGGGTTTTGATGAAACATTGATGAACCCTGAGGCGCACACACAAACACACCAGCTGTCTCTTCGCCCTGCGCTTCATAATTGTTCTCCATCCTGTATTTCTGCCCTACCTCCCACATTGTGAATTCATGAACTTCTGCCCTGCCATTCCCAATCATCACTCAAGGAGCACCAATCTGATTTGTCAAAGTGACGCAATGTCAAGATGCAGGTAAGTAGTCTTACGTTTCATTTCCACTGACAGACTGAAGAGCCTAATTCAGTCCCAAGAGTATTTTGTGAGGCGCAAAGAAGGTCCTTTGCTCAGACGGCACAATTCAATCAGACAACGGACCGCAATCCCTAAGCTGAGGGGATTCTGAGAGATCCTTTCATTGTGAATTACATTGTTCAACAATTTGGATGGCAATACTGAGGCACGAAAAAATATCCTTTCTTGGATTTTTAAGAGTAATCATGTTTGAAACCCATATGAGTCTTGTCTGTGATTGGTAACGACCTTGAGGAATTTACAGAGAGTAAAATAATGTAAAAGTAAAACACAAGAAAGAAAATTCATTTTGCTCATCTCCTCATGCTCCTCTAACAATATCGCGGTTAAAAAGGGATTATTTCTCTCAGGTCATTTCTAGTTTCAAGTATACTAACCAGGGAACACTCATTCACACGGATGGTAAGGTGGCTGGTGTTTTGACAAATAATTAATTCAGCTCTTGAGCACTCACACTGCCTGTGGCCTCTTTTGCTGCTTTCCCACGTCTGTTTGTCCTTCAAAAAGAGTCGGCTTTTGGAAGAGTGATGTCCAATCATGAGCGACTGAAGGCTGAGAGCACTTCACTCCAACAAAAGCACCAATCAGAGCAACTTCAATAACAGGAGGTCGCTAACTTGTTAAATCGGTTGGTGTGTTGTTTTCTTTGAATAATAATCTCTTTGGAATTTGTTAACATAACCAAGGACATTTTACTGCTGTGAATTGCCAATGAAATCTCACTCACACTGTCAAAGAAGGTTGAAAAGTTAAGAATTAAATGTTGCAATATAATTTTGATTCATGTTTTTTAATAACAGAGCCAGGAAAAAGCAACGCTCCGTTTGCTTTGTACATATAAGCAAAATGGAATCAACATAATGCAATACTGTTTTATGTATCAAAATAAGAGTAAAGACTGATAATATTTCTGGCAATACTAAAGCTAGAAAAAATGAGATACAGTAGTAGATTGAAAGATCCTTTTAAACATGTTCATCCTCTAAAAATAAACAAAAAATGTGCCTGAAGACAAGGACAAGTAGCAACATCTTTATTTCATCAGTAAGCAACAGTGTTTACTAGAAACATGATCTTAACACAGAAAGCGCAATACCACTGGAATGAGACTGCTGTCAGCGCTGTGGTTTCATTTGTCTACAGTAATTATACACAGGCATTTTGATTATATTGTTGGTGATATATTAAAGGTCCCATGCCATTTCTACTGATCATAATTCCATTGTTGAGGTATACTAAAATAGATTTATATTGTGCAATTTTCACATGCCTTAAATGAGCCAAAAATATGCACTTGAAGTATTTTCCTCCAAAAATAGGACATTTCATATCTTGTTGAAAAGTATGACTGATTTACAAGTTAGGGAGTGCCAAAGATATACTAAAGCAAAACTAAAACATTTTATCACGATCAAAACTTAACAACAAAACATTAATGTAAGGTTATCTGTGGTCCTTGCAATAATCTAACTGAGAGAAGGAATTGTTTAAATTCTGTAATGAGAACATTATTGATTATTTGTGTCACTCTGATGTGAATGCACATGATGGACAAGTTCTCGGTGAGACCAAAACTTGAAGTGCACACGTGAGCCCCTCACCGTCACACACAGGTCCTCTGCACGGCTATGAGACACGTTGTCATCTCAAGCGCCCAGCATTCCATTCAACACTTATCTCCTCTCTCCCCCCACTTTCTGCCTCTCAGTCTATATGAAACATGTATGGGAGCCTCATTCCTGGTACAAACAAATGTTCCCAAAAGACATGGGTCGCAGTAACACTGACACTTTGAATGGCTCTCGCCCACCCTGCCGTGACCCCTGTGTTCACTTGGGGAGCACATGGGGAGGGGGGTGTTGAGAAGGTACCCCACAACTTAATTAAACTACTGAAGACGTCCCGTTGGTCCTGAAGGGGTTATGAAACGGCAAGCATGCACAGGGCTCGCAGAGGAGAGAAATGTGGAGATGAAGTTGCGTGTTTTATTTGTTTATTGATTTATAACCCATGAATCATAGAGCTTCTCCTCAGTGCTCTTGACTGTATACAAATATGTACGTAGGCTTGCGTGACCTTAGGTTTTGACCATAGTTTTTTTGTAATCCAAAGTGAAGCTTAATTTGGTTGCCGTTGCCATGTTTAGCCTGTGAAGACTCTACTCATCTTGTTTAATAAAAACATAGGCAAATAGGTTGAGAGTCGCTGTAACTGAGGCCGATATAGCAACTAGAGACCCGGGCCGTGACAGCATCTAGCTGGCCACGCCCTTAATAACGCATCACAATGAGCATCTATAAAAGGTAAGTTATATTTCAAAAAAATTGATCTTAGCAATGAAATTGAGCATTTTAACATATGGATTGACTCACTTTTTATTTGTATGACTTATTTTGTTCAGGTACTACAAACCTAACATATATTTGCTATAACTGTTGGCTATATTTCCCACAGTTTGCCTTGGAATTACCACACATCTACAATCCAGGTTCAGCACAATTGTCTGATGTGCAGAATGTCTTTAGGGAGCTTCATTTGATGTATTGGTGACAATTTGTTTTACCCACCCAGGCACCCAAACTCTTTTAAATAGTTGATTAATGTTGTGGCTATCTACTTCATCTAGCTATTAACACTTACAATGTTTATAAGTACATCATAATGTGTTACAAATGATTTATTATAGGTTTTTTACACTGTTTATAAATGATGAATGGCTCTATAACAGTTTATAAAAGCTACATTTGTTGCTACTAAATGCACTTCACATGATGTTGAAATGGTGATATGAATCATGTGAAGGAGCGTGTCTCCAAGTGTTGTGTTGTGCGTAAAGGAGGGGCAGCTACTGCTCTCTCCCTCTGCTGTACAGGCGTGGTGTAGTCTGTCTCTCTCTTTCTCTCTCTCTCTCTCTCTCTCTCTCTCTCTCTGGCTGAAACATACTTCTGTTGGGCAGCTGTTGGAAATGAACTGAAGGAGTGTGAGCCGTCAGAGCGGAGTCAGTGCAGCTCAGTCAGTCCGCGGAGAGGACACATCTGCTCGGTCAAATACCCTTTAACGCACCGGGGAACTACCTGGAAACGCAACTGTTGGCACTGTGACAACAAGGAACCAGCCGTTTCCCTCTCTAAATCCTGCTGGAATATTCTGCTTGATTTTTGCCAACACAATTTGAAATTACTAGTTAAAACCCGGAGTGCATCTCTCCAGCAGAATGAAAGGATTTATTCTTGTGGCGCTTCTTGTCGCCACCGTCTCAGCGACCAAGTTAAACATACCGCGACTGAGACTGTCATACAAAGGTAATTAAGTGATTCATTATATATCTATTTAATTATCTATATATCTGCGCAGCTGATCTCTATCACCCTTTATCTGTACGCGCGCGTGCCCCACAGGTGGCATTAATTGGCGATCTTGACAGTCTGGTGCTTAGTATTTGACTTTTCTCATTCTATTTCTAACAAATATATGTTTTGTGTGTGAACATTTTAACTTAACACCCTCGTGGTACTGCAGTTTACAGGCTTGTTTTTATTTTTATTTGTGTATTTATCTCGATCTATACTCTTCGCGGTGGTCCGAGCTGGAAGCGTTAAATCCAGGTCGATGTTCTGGCTTCTGTTTTGGGAGGTTTATGTGTTTTTACAAGGCTCGCAGACGTTAATTTGCTGGTTTCCAGGCGGGGTGTCCAGCCGGAGGAGATTTTGGCTGAGGGTCATCTCTGCGGTGGGATACGATGCTCCAACTATGAAGGTTTATTAGGAGCGGCAACCGCAACGGAAATACCTGGGAAGGATGTTAATAAGCGTGTATACTGCGGTGTAGTTACTAACATTATGTAGCCTAATTAGGTCTGAAGGACTTAACAGCACAGGTCATCGAAAGTACCACTAATTGTCCATCAGACGTGGATGTCGTCTGTTACACAAGGTCAGATTGTCTAATCTTTGATAATGACCTTTCACCTTGTAAATACTCAAAAAGTAGTTACCTTACAATCTGGATGGAAGTGTAAATGCATTTTATTGTTTTTTTAGGCTTGAGGTTTTTTACTGCCAATGACCGAGATTTAAACATTGTACAGTATCGTTTTGTCCTGTTCTTCTCTGATGTTGGACATGACTCACTCAGGTTGAATAATAATAAGGAAGTTAAGGTTTGTTGTGTGTGTGTGTTTGAATGGTGTTGACTGTGTTGTTGCCAAGCCAGGCTCATTGTTTCATTTTGCTCAGGCCAGAGCGGGTCTGCAATCATCATCAGCGATAGATATCACACAGGATATCCTCTTGTTCAACTCCATGTTTCCAGGAGAAAAGTCACCATCTGAGGTAACAGGTCTTCCTGTTGGCTGACTGGAAATATTGCTCAGAACAGAGAAAGAGATAAACTTACGTATGAGACAGAAAAAACAAAAATGGATTCAACATGTAGGATATACGGCATCATAGAAGACAAGCAGAGTAATTGTAGTCTCCATATGCTTTTTTTACCAACTGAGCTACTGCTATATACACTGAACAAAAATATAAATGCAACACTTTTGTTTTTGCATTGTGCTGTGTGATAAAACTGCACGTTTCAGAGTGGCCTTTTATTGTGGCCAGCCTAAGGCACACCTGTGCAATAATCATGCTGTCTAATCAGCATCTTGATATGCCACACCTGAGGTGGGATGGATTATCTCGGCAAAGGAGAAGTGCTCACTATCACAGATTTTTTCAGATTTGTGAACAATATTTGAGAGAAATGGTTATTTTGTGTTTATAGAAAATGTTTTAGATCTTTGAGTTAATCTCATGAAAAATGGGAGCAAAAACAAAAGTGTTGCATTTATATTTTTGTTCAGTGTACTGTATGTGTTGTTGGCCTTTTGGCAGCAGGCATAGGATAACATTTATTACGTCGTAGAAATGACCATATTCATATTCATGGTCCTGCAGAGGTAAAAACGTAAAGCTTAAAGTGACCCCTGACCTTTTATCTAGTGACACCATCACCATGACATTTTCTGAACACATTCCTGGTCCCCAGAGGATGAACAGTTTTCGAGCTTTCCCTCTTTCACCACCACCTTGAGGCCAAAAACATGGACTTGCACAAAAGATATCTCATAGGAATAGATTGCCATGAAATTTGCTGAGCATATTGATGCGGACATGGGGATTAACCTTTGTAATTAGATTGACACTGCAGTAGCCTTGCCTCTTGTGACACTCACAGATAATGAACCACCTTAGGATCAATAGCAAAATGGTTAGTATGTTGTTGTATGTTGGTTAATTTGCGTTACAAAAATGGCATTGTTTTTTTTATTTATCCTCTCCATCCTAATTAGATGTTATAGTTAAATCACTACATAATGTCTTGTAATTCAATGTTAAATGTTTTAACCTTGCTATACATTTACTGAATGGTCTCTTGATCTTTAAGAGATAATATTCAGAAAGTCCTGCAACATAATTGAGTATACAGAGTGAGCCTCAGTTATTGAACAAACAAAGTCAGGCCCTGGGCAAACACTATAAGTGGAAAAAATCAGTGCCCAAGGTTGTGAGTCACAGCACTCTACTCTGCAGAGCCCCCCTTTTCAAAGCTTTCCGAGATACATTTTCACTTTGGTCTAGCAATAAAAAGCACCACATAAAACCAGTTTTTCTTCATTACTTGCCATCGGAAAATTGCTCTCATTTTGCCAGCTTCACGAGGAGTGTGGGAAGAAACTGTGCCTATAGGATTCTCATTAGTGCCCAACAAGTTTCTTCCTGTCGGGATGACCTCAGATTTGATCCCACTGCTTGCCCCGTTTTACATAATTTCCCCCTCGGCTCAATTCTCTTTTTTTCTTGTTTGTCTTTCCCCGGTAAATCGTTCCATACGTCTCCAAGTTTCTTATCTTCTCACTTTTTCAGTCTAATTTCTCATTCCTCCTAACCTCAGCGTTCCCCCTGTTTGTGTGCCTTCCTCTATTGCTTGCTCTTTCATTATAACACGGAGAAGCCTGGAGGGTGTTTGTATTCCCCGGAGGATGTAGAGGTAATTTGGCGACAGGAAAAGCTGTCATTATCTCATTTCAATCAATTTGTGGGTAGAAGGTCAAGCAGGAAGTTTACCTCCAAACTATTACAATTCAATCCAGCACTCTTTATGTTTACCTTAAACATCCCATTCAACATTGATTTAGCCATTTAAGTCCATCTATGTGTAATTGGATGGAGATTGAATCTTATCAGACATGTATTAAACATTTACAAAGCCTTTCAACATAAAATCACTTTATTTCATAAAAAAAAAATAGGTCCTCAATACACGTTTTAATATACTCATTTAAATGCTAAAAGAAATCCATATTTTTTGGGGGAGAACATTTGCTTTTTCCCCAAAAGATATTGCATTTTGTATTATGGAAGACTTTAACCTCTCTTGACTAACAAATAACAAAATCAGTATTTTATCGTTTTTCACTTCCTGACTTTATGAATTATTTGATTTGATTTGATTGCTATATTTGTTTATGATCATAGCAAACACAAAGAGAAAATTGCGGTTCATGTTTGTTTTTCAACCTAATTTGCAATTATAACTCCTGACAACAAAGTGAGAATGTGTGTGTGTTCTTGTGTGATCATGTGTGTACTGGGGGTGACATTGAGGCGTCGAGGTATGCGATGTGTGTGTGGTTGACTGCACTCCCAGCCCTCTGCCAAGCGTCTATACCAACCTCCCATCATGCATCTCTCTTTGCCTTTCTCTATGTGTCTATGTATGTCTTTCATTTGTCTTCCTCTCTCTTCAGCCTGCTTCACTTATTCATTTCAATTCCCTCTATAGATGTTAGTGCTCGCTCACACAGAAACACACACTCTGTCTAATACAATATTCACTTTGTCTCACCAAAGACAGGGGGCACTTGAGAACCCCAACACCACACACACACACACACACACAACACACACACACACACACACACACACACACACACACACACACACACACACACACACACACACACACACACACACACACACACACACACACACACACACACACACACACACACACACACACACAAGCATCTTATTATGATCAGATTGCATTAGTTCTCAGAGTGAAGGGTTGTGTTTGTTTTCGCTTACAGCCTGTGAATTAATGAGTTGTTCTTCTCATTCAGCGTAGCCCAGATGCGCACATTCAGACGGGTGTTAGTTGTTCTTAGGCGGAGCGGGGTAATCTGTCACCGGGAGTCTGTTGGAGACTCCCAAGCTGCTGAAATGTAGGGCGTCTTCCATCCTTTCATCTTTCAGCTCTTTTCTTTGGCCATTATTTTTCATCCATCACTCCCTCCCTGCTCCATGTAATAGCTGGTTCATTGCACTTTTCCTCTCTTTCCTGAGTTCAGTATAAGTGCTCCCAGACCTCTAGACGGATCTAAAACCCAGCAAAGGAAAGACAAAGAGGAAGCAAAAGAGATACACTTTAAGGTTTTTCTAACCAAGCCAACTGGCTTGTCAGGCACATGTTATTTTATTAGGAAGTATATAAGCTTCGGCTCTAAGACATATTGGACAGAAAATAGGGTTTTAGAGGTTTTAATGTTTTAATAATGTTTGACATGTGTTTGAATGTCAAATGTTTGTGTAATTCCTTGAAAAAGAGTCATGGCAGTTTAACCCTGCAGGCTTACGAGCCAATTTCCGAAAGTTTACAGAACATGAACAAGAGTCCAATTTGTTTAAAAGATAATGAAAACTGCAATGAAAGAAAAGTCCTGGTCCAGGTAAAAGGTTGAACCCGTTATTGATATCTGTAATCGTAGTTCAACAAGCTCATAAGGCTTTTAAGCGAAGGCAGTGGCAACCTAATGTTAGCGAAATGTTTCGAAAGTTTTGTATCAAGGAATCGTGTCCCAAAATGATTAACTTTAACCCCCTTATAATGGCAATTCATATGCATGTCTGTCAAGTATTTTAATCAGAATCTATCATGGTATAGATTACTCAATTAGGATTGCATGGTTGGTGTGTTTAATATAAGGAATACTGGGTGAGTGTCGGATATCTACTCTAATATTGCAATATCAATATAGTATTGCTATTATATATAACAAAACCGTTATCATTCCTTTCTTCTGTATATTAAAGACAAACTCCATAACTTGGAAACTGCACGAGACACAGTTTCCTGTTCTTGTTGCAATTAAAGTTTATTTTAAGATTGGCAAAGATGTCATCTTATTAGGTATAAAAACATAGGCTTCTATATCACATAGCCACAAGATATATAAAACAAAGTTTGTATTTTG